CCCCCCCCCCCACCTTCGTATCCCTCTACCAGTTGCCTGTGCCTCTGGGAATGAATGATGCTATTCATGGAAGCACAGAGTCCACCAAAACTATCCATGCTATTAAACCTTCCTTTCACTTCTTTTTTTGAGCTGCTTATAATCTAAAACTCAACAGGAAAAGAAGTCTTTCTTGACTGGGTTACTGCAGATAATGGCATAAAAGAGAATATATATTGGAGAACTGCTGTCAAATGTTTTGTAAATCCAAAGCAATCCTCTTAGGCAGCTGCACCAAGTACAAACAGTTATAACAGACGAGTAAGCACTGTTTTCTTCTCTAGCAGTAGCTCTGAAGGCAAACTAAAATGGAAAAAGGGCTGGGTTGGTGGAGTTATTTTTCTGCATTGAATCATGCTGTTACTTCAGACTTGTCCCTGAATCTACAGGCTGTTGGAAATGGGATTAAACGCTTGTCGCGTTTTATCATGTTGATATATATTTAGCATTGTAATATTGTACTGGTTTATTTAAAAATTCTAAAATCTGCCCCTGGATAACGTTACTGAGTGAGATTTTTTTCTATTGCTTGTACTGTTGTAATTGGAATTTACTGTATTGTGTCAGTAGTAACTCTGGCTTTTCACAGGTGCCACTAAATTAGAATCTGGCCCAACATGAACTCTACTCACAAGATAAAATGGAAACCAGAAACAAAATTGGGCCCTTCATGGAGAGCTTGTTGTTTTTGGAACAACTGAATTTCTATTTATGAGTCCCGTAAGAATTCTTTTTGCATTAGGAGGTGCTTGCTAGAACTGCTCATGTATTACAGCCAGAACCATATGAAGCATCTTTTCTTATACACATGCTCTATTCTGCTTTGTTCCTTCAACTGGGTATTCTTGTTTCTCAGGAAGCTGACACAGATGAGAACCAGGGGACCCTGACATTCGAAGAGTTTTCTGTATTTTACAAGATGATGTCATTACGGCGTGATCTCTACTTGTTGCTTTTGAGCTACAGTGACAAGAAAGATCATCTCACTGTTGAAGAATTTGCCCAGTTTCTGAAGGTAGAACAAAAGGTATGGGAATAGCAAGCACAGTTAATGGTCTTTTTTAACACACACAAACTTATATGATTACATTGGGCTCACTTTTACCTTCCATCTGTATTTACTACTGACAGGTGAAAATGAGGAATTTGTCGTGGAGATGCTGATAAAATGTTAGGGTAAAAATTGGATATGACTAGATGCTGTATTACAACCAAATACTTTTGGAAAATGCTTTTGAAATCTTGGAAACATTGTGGGTGGAAATGGCATATTAGGTAAATATTCATACTGGTTTATGTTGACATCCAGGTGACAGGTTTATACGTACAGTTAATAATCCAGCAAGCATTACATTTTAGGATTGCCATGTTCTTTCACGTCACTTGCCTAATGTTAAGGAAATGTTTATATTAAAGGAAAAAAATGACTATATGTGGTAGAATCTAACAGTTCATAAACAGAAGGTTTGGCAGGCGTATTAGGATGGAGGTTAGGAAAGTAAAATCTACATTTTAAATGTAGACACAAGAGTTTGTTTCTTTTTTTTAAACCCACTATTTGAAGAAATGAGCAACAGACTTGTCTGCATCTTCCTACATTAGATTTGTTGGTCTACTTTTAGTTCAGTAATTGTGTGTTGAGATGAATTTATTGTGTAACATCTTTTCATTTCAGTTAAATTCCACAAAGTTTCATAATATTGTTCTTGTTTTCTTAGGAATCATTTAAAAATAAGTAAATGAATACATAAAAATTGCAATACATTTAAAAACCAGATTTTAAACAGTGACAAATCAAAAAAGCTATGGTTTTATAGAAGTCAGTAAAGTGACCTCTTTAAGCTAACACTAGTTGTACGTGATAAGCATTGTCATAATTATAGTCTCAGTTTAATCTGTTGTTTATCCATAATGTTACCACTAACACTGAGCAACACATTAATATTTAATATTGTGAGAGAGTTAAATTTTTAACAGTCTCCTATTTTGAATTCTGATTTGGATATGTAGGAGTGGAATTAAATTCTATGCATAGAAATCACAAATCTTCATACCAACAATTTAATTAAAAAAATTGTTCTTTGAAATATAACATTTTAATGAAAGAATTTTGAAGAGAAGGCTGCATTTTTGTGTAATTTAGCGAAGAACTTACACTTCTCTGAACTGATTGCTCTTCAAGACTGGGATGATGAAGGAAGTGTTTCAACGTTGCCATCTAAAGTAGGCAACTAAATTCATGTATAGGCATCTATCTAAAATGCCTGATTGTTCAGAGATGTTCAGTTAAAGCCTATAGGATGTGCAGGTGTCCAGCATCTCTGTAAATAGGCCACTTTTAAGTAAAAGCTTACACATGGATTTTGGTGGCTAAATTAAGGTGCCTATGTTTGAAAATAGCTCTGTACATAGATAGCGCCTAGCACTTGTGGGCAATATCAAGCTACTGTTGCTACGGCTGCAATAACTACTGCTAAATGTTTCTGTGGATAAGAACCACAAGAGGGCAACATAACCATATGGTAGTAATGGACCTGGTAAAAAAATACCCATTTTTATTTTTCTATAAAATTTTAAGTTTAAACCTTTTTTGTTTGAAATTTGTCACTTCTTTCTTTTTCTGGCAAAGTAGCATCCCAACATTTTTATTTTTCAAAAAAGCCAGAAATGAAAACAGGTATAGAAATGCTTTGTTTAGTTTTCAGTTTCTGTTTTCTTCACTGAAAATTGGAAGGTTTCCACCACAATTAGGGGTGAATCCAGCGGGTACAGGGATGCAGTTGCTTTTTGTGTCCCCTATTTTGTATTTGTGCTTTTGATTATTCCTCCTGAGGTACGGTGCCTTTCATTTGTTTGCACTGAGCTTCATCCTATTAGTTTTAGACCAACTTTCCAATCTGTTGAGAGCCTTCTGAATCATGCTTGCATCCTTCAATGTGTTCACAGTCCTTCCCAGGTTCGTGTCATTTGCAGACTTGCTCAAGAAGCTTTCTATGCCAGCATCCAAATCATTAATAAATACGTTGAACAGCACTGAGGCAAGGACAGACTTCTGTGGAACTCTGCTCAAAACCATCTGCCAGTCTGACATGGCCACGTTAATCATTGCCCTTTTGCTTGCATCTATTGAGTCTGTTATCTATCCATCTTGTAGTAGTTTTATCTAGTGCACATATCTCCAATTGTTTATGAGAAGGTCATTTGGGACCTTGCAAAAGCCTTGCTATAATCGAAATGCACTGTACCTGCAGCATTCCCTTCATCCACCCGAGTAGTTACTTTGTCAGAGAAGGAGATCAGGTTTGTCTGACGTGATTTGTTTTTCATAAATACATGCTGGCTGCTTGCAGTCAGCTCTTTCTCCTCCAGATGCTTGCAGATGGCCTTCTTTAGGATATGCTCCAGTAACTTCCCAGGTATAAGGTGAAGCTAACTGGTCTATAGTTCTCTGGATCTTTTTTCTTTCCTTTTTTAAAGGGGGGCACAACGTTGGCCCTTTTCCAGTTATCTGGTACCTGGCCCATCTCTCACAACCACATGAAGATCATTGCAGAGGGCTTTTTGCTTTGATCTTAAACTGAATAATATAGTACTATGCCCCTGGCATATTAGTAAAGCTTCTAGTTTCTCTTTAACCAGAAAAAAAATGTGTTGTGTTATATGTGATGATATGCACCACCATCTTCAAAATCCTAGATCTGCCTATGGCCACAGTAAAAAGCATTTCAGTTGACAAAACACAGTTTGTTTGTTTTTTAAACAAACAAAGCTTTGCTAGAAAAAAATCAACCCTCTGTAACATTAGTTGGCAGTGGTGATAGATATTGGCTGTCTCTTTGGGTCTGGAGGCTAATTTGTGATTGTATGACCTGCTATAGGGTGGGCAGACATGCTGATGGTGAAGTTGGCACCTGCTGACTAGGATCGTGGTTGAGGACACTTGGTTATTTGTTTGCCTCTGGTCATGAGTGGATCCAGGAATTTGAAAAGGAAGGTGCTGGACATACCACACGTGTTCTGGGGGAGGTTGTGCCTCCCCCTCCCCTTCCCTTTCCAGATGGCGCCAGAGCAGCAGCTGCCAGGGACTTTTTGGAGTCCCTTAAGGAGGTAAGACAGACACATCCCGCACCTCTCTGGGCACTCCTTCCTCTCAAGTGCCTTCCATTATCTTCTCACATGCTCAAGCAGGGGTTGCAGAAGGGTTGCCAAGGGTGCAACAAAGGGGAACCTGCCTGTTGCTATCACTGTCCCTAGCTGGCCTTGTTGCAGGGGAGCTCCAGGACTGCTGTAGCCTGAGTCTTCTGTCTGTAAGTGCCAGCTTGGGGTGGCAGCCTGGCTGGGACCAGCAGCAGCAGGGGCAGAGGGAGGAATGGATGGATCCCTTTATGGTGCCTGCTAGAGGATGGGGATGGGAGGGGGCTACCTGGGCAGTGGGCTGGGAGCAGGCATGCCTGGAAACCCACTGCTGTTGCTGTTTCCAGCTGAACTGGGGGCAGGGAAAGCCCCAGGATGGCTCCTGCCCACTCCAGTTTGGGGCTACAGGGAGCAGCTCTACAGTAGTGGCAGGGTCAAGTCCCTGCTCCCTTCCTTTCCACCACATTTCTTCCAGAGCCCTGGAGGCATCAGCTGCGGGAAGCAGTTGTGCAGAGTGCTGGACAGGGCTGGGGCAGATGGTGATCTCCTGGCTTCTAGGTGCTTCTGATCGCTGCCTGACTCCCCATTGTCCCCCATGGTTTGATAGCAGGTGCTGGAAGGGAGATCACCCTCCCCAGCCCTGCGCAGCATTCCGCGCAGGTGCTTCCTTCACCTGGAATCACCCCAGCAATGGGGGAAACAGAACAGAGCATGAGGGAGCAGGGACTTGAACTTGCTGCTGCTGTTGACTGGGCACCCCCATTGAAGGGGGTGCAACTGCACTAGTGCACCCCCACTGGGTCTGCCCCTGCCCATGCCCCTGGTTATATTCAGAATATTTTACTTTGTCTTTCATTGTTCTTCCTTACTTGGTTTCATTTGCAGGCATAGCATGCCTGTCTGGATGACAAAGCTGTAGAGCTTGCTTGTTTTGTGAGAGTATATGAAACAGGATTTTGTGTATGTTTCTGCCTCCCACTGCTTTACCATCGAATACACTTCTCATTCATCCTGACAATGGGATCATGCCATCTAGGTTATAGCCTCAGTAGTATTACCTGCATGTTGTATTCGCTTATAAAATGCTGTTAATGTTTACATCTTGCCCCATTATAGTCACAAGTGACAGAAGATACATGGAAATAATAACACTCTAACATTATGCTGGTAGCAAGTTGACATCTTGACACTATGTTGGATGGTGTACAAAATAATTTGCAAACTAAATAACGAAAACCAGTTGTGCAGCTACCTAGGGGCCATGCTCCCAAGGGTTTTGATCTTCAGCTGGACATTAACACATTCCTTGAAATAACTTACTAAATATGATCCAAGGTGTCTTGTTAGCAGAATTATTGCACCTGCACCTTTTAATTGGTCTGTGAGGAAGAGGACATAATTTTATAACAATTACACTCGGGGAGCATGCGTATATAATTATATAAAACATTGCATTAATTATTTAGTGAAATTCAACATATTTTAGTTGTAATCTACATCAGTCTGCTTGAGAAAATGAATTTACCCTTACGCTTTGTTCTACCCCACAATACAATGTTGTAGCAATAATTATTGCTGCAGTAAACAATGGTAATGTGGCAGGAAACAATAGGAAACTAGCAGTAAATATTTTTTTTTTTTTTACAGAATGAATGTCTTAAAGTATCTGTACCTGCTGTAGGCCCCAGGAATTCAAGGAATAGGATTAGTCAGTATATGTTAAACATACCACTGATGTCTTTTTTTTTTTTTTTTTTTTTTTTGATTTGTACCATTTGGTGACTGAACCCAGTAATCTCTGGGTCCCAAATACAGTGTATTAGGTGAAATCTAATTGAACAACAGTTCCTGATGCTGTGAACTGAAAAGGAGAACACATGGAAGCAGGGAAGG